GACATTTTAGAATTGTAGAAAGAGTTTTTGTTTGCTTACAATATATTTGCACTGGAAAAAATTAGAAATGGGCTCCGTAGCACACTTGTCCGAACCTATTGAGATTGTACGGAGAATCTTAGTTCATTCCTTTTTCGACCTGGTATGTACTTCGTCTTCGTCGTGGCTGGTGGTCGACAGGCACTTTCCGCCTAATGAGGAGATCTAAGAGATGAGTGATTAAGTTATGAAGTCTTGTTTTGAACTATACACAATGCACTAGGGTTGGTCTTATTGTGGAGTGCTTTTGGCACTGCTCAAGATGAGCTGGCTTGATTCTGTCAAATGAAATGGTCTCCTCATGCCCTTTGATGAGCAATATGAAGTATCTGTCGCATCAGTTTAAAACTCTGAAGGGTCCTTCATATGAATTTAGCAACGGTGTTTTCACAGTGTTTGTACGGATGAAGATATATATATATATATAGCATGACACTTCTGGGCTGAGGAACAACACCGTGTGCAAGTTGCAGTGCTCTGTGGGCATAGGTTGCGGTTTCTGAGGAACATAGCCAGTTTTTGACATCTTCAACATTAGTGATATCGGTGTGGGTGGTAGATATTAAAACTTGCCCGGAAATACAAATGGCCATACAATAGCACAATTTCTGCTGTGCTTTGTCCCAGGTGTCAATGTTCCCAGCATGAAGAATCGTATATGTCTTCATTTATGGTGTGGCCGTACCTTTCACCTTCAAACTTTGCCTTCAACTGTCTGTTTAATCGTTTCACCATTCCGTGGTGGCTGGGGCGCTAGCACATACACATGGTATATACCTTGTACCCGGGAGTTGAGAAAGTTTCTGAAAGCGACTCAAATTGCCTTTCACAATTTGTTGTGGAGGTGGTTAGTACTCCTAAGCAGCTATAAATAACCAACATGCTGCTGACTTCTGCTGTTATGGACTTGATATGTCCTTGGACCACCACCTGATGCAGTCAACGCAGGTAAAAATGTGTGCTTTGACAGTTGGTGGAAGAGGTCATAGGGTGGATCTTGGTGAACTGCCAATCAGGAGGTGAAAATTTGCCCAGTTGCATAGTCATGTGTCAACCTTTCGCATACTGGCATTGCAGACGTGCACATGACCACCTGGGAATGTCGTCATTAATTTAATTTAGGCAAGATAAATCGAGTAGTGCAGGCATTGAGCGGCTCAATTTTCAGGGTGTAAGAGAATGCAGTGCTTCAAAACTGTTTTTCGGAACTCGTCAGGAACGTTTGGCTTAAGTTATTCGTCGACGGGGTGATTCAGAAACACTTGGCGACCAATCCCTATTTTTAAGGTGAGCAAAGAGCTCACGTAGATGGTGTGCGTCGTCTTCCTGGTTGTCGCTGAAAACAAGCTTGATATCGTCCAGGTAAACAAAGATGAATTCACCTTCACATGAACTGCAGCTGTTTGTCTGAATCTATCGAGCTCAAACAGGGGGTTTCATTGTTTTCTTTATCGAACAGGTATGCACTTCGTTTTCATCGTGGTTGGTAGTCACTATGGTTTTGATGTGATTTTAATAATGACGGTGGGGAGTCGAGTTTGCGGTTAAAGGGATGCTGAACCGAAATTTAGAGCTCACAAAACAAGGCTGAAGCGATAGATGGGACGCTGCACAACCCCAAAACATGACTCGTACAGCGATATCTCTAACGGATGGCCGTATTTTTGGAAAAGAAGTGCACGATTGAACACGGCCGACAAGGCCAACGAGACATGTCACATCACGATTCCCATTCCCTCTCTTCTTCGATTCGTCCCCTCGAGCAGGTGAACCTAAATGAGGAGGAGAGAAGCGAGGCCGCTTCCCCTCGTTCTCAACTGTTCCAGGAGAATCGTGACATCACATATGCCACTCTTGATTACGCCCTTTTCCAAAAATATGGCTATCCATTTGAGATATTGATGTACGAGTGATGTTTTGGAGTTCGTAGCGTCCCGTTCAATGCTTCTGCGGCCTTATTTTGCAAAATCCCAATTTTGGTTCAGCATCCCTTTAAACTTGGTTTATGAGAAGCAAAGAAAAGCGTTAGGTCAAGACCAACACAAGGCACCTTCTGCCGTTGCCAAGGGGAGTCGATGGATGTTTATAAGAGGTGGGGGGACGCTCTGCCGGGCCCTGTTCACAAAAACAGGATGTCGGGTATAGCACTCAGTCTGTTGGTATACATAGCACATACGCAGCACTCTTCCACCCTTAGCTCACATCTGTTTGGGACTCGCAATGGCTCCTAACTAGGACAAATTCACCTTCTTGGCATGGGCAAGTTCTTCATCTTGGGAATGCCGATATTGTCCATCCAGTATTTATCGTCCTCGGAAGTTGGTGTTTCCATTTGAGGGGTCTGCAGCCGGATCAGGCCAACGTGTCGGACAACATCGCCGTCTGCTGTAGTGTCGACAGCCATGCGTGTTCCCCTAATTTCCTTTACAACTAAGGAATAAACACGGTTCTTTCTCGTTGAAGTCCTTCGTCAGTTGCGGGCTGAGATTAATGTTCTTCCCTTTTCTCCAGCCCTGCTGGAGGAAGAAAGAAATGAGGTTCAATCTCGAACGTTGATGACCTCCCATCATTAGTTCTGCTGGGGCTTTTTCCAACCTGCTGTTAGGTGTTCGCCAGTACTAAAGCGACCAGCGGTCGTCTAGCTTTTCTTTGTAGGCCTTTGGCAGGAATCTTTTTTCAGCGCCAACTTCACCGTTCGCACTGCCCACTCGGCAATTCCATTTAACTGTAGGTGATAAGAACATGTCGCACACCCCTGTGGGACGTGAAGTCTTTTGAAGGGTTGCCCTGCGGTGGCGGGAGTCCCATTGTCCGAGACGATGCAGTGTGCTATTCTGAAACGATCAAAGTCCTATCATTACCTCTATGTATCCTTTACCACAATCGCCCCGATCCACGTAGAGAAGCTGTTTACCACAATTAGCAGCATTTGTCCATCGACTGGCACTGCATAGTCGATATGGCCGGATGATTGATCAGGAAATGGTTACTGCTGGCCATGGACAGTGGTTCTCTTTTGTGGGCAGCATAGGAAGCACCTGCTGGCATGCCAGTCGCACGTCATGTTCTTGATTTTGCTATTCATATTTTGCCACCATCAGAGCGATCTGGCCAGGGACTTCATCGTAGTCATCCAAGATTGGGGTAGTGTAGTTTCAGCAGCATCGTTCGTCCTGCCTTTCGTGAAATTACCACTCTTCTCTTCCACACTACAAGTCCTTCGTCCACCGACATCTCTGCTCTGCAGGTTAAAAAGGGTTCGAGAGCGGGATCTTGTAGCTTATGGCTATCCTTCCAGAATCCCTCGAAGTTTGCTCGATTCCGTATCTGCAGCTGTCAGGTCTGCAAGTTGTTTGAACGAAAGTGGTCCTGTTTCTAGTTGCTCCATAAAGGCCACTTGCTCCGGGCTTGTTGGAGATTTGCTCCTTTTTTTCTGTGTAAAACGGCTTAACGCATCTTGCCGAAGATGCAAGTGCACTGGTGGGTCCTCCATTTTGCCATCTTCTGGCTTGAGCAGCTCGCCAAACTTTGTCTTGAGTTCAAAGACACTGTCTTCACGTCAGCGAAGTTCACCTTGTGGAGTAGACATAGTGCTCCAATTACGCTTTGGCCGTGGACTCTGTCCATTGCAGTCCAAGATGTAGACCTACGCCTTTGCACTCTGTCCTTTGTGTTGCACTGTCATGTGGAGAACTCTTTTAACTGGCAGGGCTCCTAGGTAGCATGACGGCTTCAGCTGGCAAGCAGTGATTTTCGGCCATGGCTGATGGTGTTGTTGATAAACACTCATCGATATGACTGACACTTGAGAATCGCTGTCGACCTCCATGCTGACAGGAACTCGGTTCCAATATGCAACGAAATAGTCTAGGCTTGTGCATGCGCAACTCACTGACACTGCTGATCAAAAGATGCAATCGCTTCTCGGGTACTGATTCTGCCACCACGATGGCGTTGGTTTGGCATGTCGTGCAACAGTACGTCATTGAGAGCGTGACTTGCATACCGTAGCGAGATGTCCTGCTTTTCTTCACTTAAAGCATGCGCTTGATACAAATTCAGGACACTTTTTAGCATCGTAATTGTTGTTGCCACACTGGTTGCATTTGTTGTGCTGTTGCATTTGCGACTGCGGTGTTTTGCTTCGTGGGAACCGTCCCACATTTTGCATTCCTTCATTCCTGCTCCGCTCACCTTGATGACTTCGGAATCTTCCAGGCCCGTCCCTTTCAAGACACAAGCATTCTAGCTAGCGGTTTAAACAGCCAGTGCCATCCGCATTGCTTTTTCCAAGGTCATCGATGACTGCCAGCAGTCTCTTCTGCACTCCTACCTCATGCACACCACACACCAATCGATCCCGGATCGTGATGTCAAGGGTGCTGCCGAAATTGCAAGAGTCTGCAAGTTTCAGGAGAGCTGCAAGAAATTTTGAGATAGTTTCATCCTTCTGTCAGTAGCGGTTATCGAACTTGTACCGTTTTATTATCTTCGATGGTGTCAGCAAAAAGTATTTGTTCAGGGTCCCCAGCAGCTCTTTGAACGTTTTTATACTTGGCTTGATGGAATTCAATAAACTTCAAAGCCCCCAACTCGTAGGTCTTCGGTCCTACACAAGCCAGAAAGATCCCGGTCTTATGCTTGTCGTCAACAGTCCGATGGCCAACGAAGCAGCGCTCCAAGCATCCTAGATGTGTAGTTCCCTCGTGGCTCCAACTCTGTGTCATACCCGGGGCCGGTGCCAATCTTCACCCTCTTACTTTATATGGCGAGCTCTTTCCCAGATGTAAAGTCACAATCTGCAGGAACTTGCATTGTCAGTTGCTGTGAGTAGATGTGGGCTTTGTTGTTCTCGTTACCATTTCACTTGTTTTTAAAGTGACGGTGGGGAGTGGAGTAATTATGGTTAAACTTAGTTTGCTAGAAAGAAAAAAAAATGTCAGGTCGAGACCACCGCAAAAAGATCCTTCTGCTGTTCAGGGGTCTATGGATGTTTATAAAACGAAGGGGGCGGGGGATGTTCTGCCAGTCCCCATTTGCAGAAGCAATATGTCGGGTGGCACTCCGTCTGCTGTTGTACATGGCACGTATGCGGCAGGTATCTTTAAGCTTCTCCGCATTCTAGGTTTTCCTGGAATTTCAAAGAATCAATGGTGTGCACCCTCGGCAGCTGGAGACAATTGCAGAGCGATACATGGTGTCACTTCTGACATTGGCGGGAAAAAAAGTTGAAACATTCAGCATGGAGCTGCTGACCAAGGCCGAAACTGTCCCCGATGGAGGCTGTGAGAATACAATCAAATGAACTTCCTTATATTTGCATGCATGCTTATAGATTTCAATATCTATGCTTTGACAGAACCTTATAGTTTTTGCCCACTCCTACTCCCAAGGGATGAAAACTTTGGCTTTTCTGCTCACACTGCCCAGGATGGTCAAAGAACGGCCATCTTTCCTGAGAAGCTCGGTAACTATTGAAATAACCCCTGCTCCCCTTTTTTTTAAAGTCTTTTGCTGCATGTGAATATTTATACATGTTCTTGAAATTGGGCTTAAAGCAGCTTTGGAATGAACTAAATGTGGATATCCTCATGCTTTGAAGCACACAGAATGCATAACCACAATATTGACCTACAATATTAGTACTTCCTAAATGTCACTTGCAAATTTCCTTCATTTCCATGCTCAGCTGGAATATGTTAGCCCCTTATTAGCTTTTTCCCAGATCCCGTTTCTATTTATAAGAGACGGGCCCAAACTAGATAGTACGCCTCACAATTTAAATTGTTTTCTAGGCACCATGGTTCGCTGCATATCCACTTGTTCTGTGGACCGACAACATGGAGGAACTCGGCCAGTCTGCCATCCAAGTGGAAAACCAGATCATAAAGGCAGAGAACCCAGCGCAGGCAGTCATTGCTGCATTCTGCTTGCATTGGGTGTTGAACTTTGTGTATGAGCCAGCATCCAGGGCATTCTACACAACTCTGGAGCACTTGCTTAGCATCACTAACACCAAACCGACAGGCATGGTCGTAAGGCTGCTCTCGAACCTGGAAAAGGTAGCATGAAACTGGAATAAACCATCGAAAGGTTAATAAAAAGGCCCTCATTATACTTTTTCTGCTTACATTGTCACATGTTGGAATCCATAAAGTTAGTTAAAATTTATACAGAGCACTTCCAACCAGTGGCAGCCCCCTCCGAAAAAAAGTTGTGGCTATGTCACTGCTTACAACCAAAAGGTATATGGTTGAATACTACAAATGGTCTTTCAAGAACAAGTGATTACCAAACAAGCTAAGCAGTCTAGGGGAACATGTGACTGCTATCAAGCACAAATAATAATTTTCCCATTTCGTATAGTTTAAAGGAAAGTGGAGAGAATCATAGAGGTGCGTACCCATCCCCTCCTGAAAGGAATTCCCGATTTGCCGATGCAATTGTATATGATAAAAAAATATTCGTATATACATATATGAATTGCAGTAAATTTGGGGAATTATGGACGGTTGCAAGGAATGGGGGAAATAATTTTTATTTTTTTCTACGTAATGTGCTATGTACGTATGAGAAGTGATATTTGAAAATAGTTGTAAAATCAATTTTGAGTTTTATGTACAAAAACAAAAACTGTGGGCATTATGGCACATACCAGCGAAGAACTGAGGATTAATTTTGATCACAAAGGATCTGTTTACGTGCAACGAAAACCTAGTTACAACGGCAGCTCAGTCACCTCGGCCAGGATTCAAATGTAGGCCAGCTCCTTGGAGCCACCAAAAAAAGTGTTTAAAATGTGAACCGATATATGGGTTTAGATTTTTCCTATGAGTGGGAGGTGTTCGAAACACGAGAAAATCAAGATGTGTAGCATGAGTGCTGAGAAGCAGCACTTAATACACCCTGCATGTTAAAAATTTCGAAGTTTAGCTACCATGGATACTTTGGCTGTAAACAGTCTCGTTTTGTACACCTTGTTCTCTTTTAGAGGTTGCACTGCCAAAATTCTATTAGCCTCATATCTCCCCACCTCCTGTAATTCTTACCAGGAGATGTGGCCCTGGACAGTGCTTGTACGGCACGAGCGCGCGTGCTTGAAAGGGACGCTGAAAGCCCGGAGCACGCCCTTGTAGCTTCTGCTCGGACGCATGCGGTTTGGAGAAGTTCGTTTTAGCGAACGCAGTTTTAGCGACCCGTTTATCGAATCAATTTATAGAGAAACCCAGTTTAGAGAGAATGGCGATGAGCCTTCGTTTAGCAAATTCGACTGCCGCAAAGCGGCGTATACGCGTGGATCAAGTAAGTAAACATTTTTTTTCATGAGCCGCCGCAGACCGCCGCCGCGAAGTGGGAACGCAGCGGGAGTTAAACATACGCTTACACTCAAAGCGCTTAAAGTTTTCGTCCTCTCCAGAAACGTAAAGTCATAAACCAACCACAAAAAAAAAAGAAAAAAAAAAGCGAGAAATAATTTTGCGCGCTGCTCTGAGAAACGGTGCCGAGCATCGCGTGAACGGAGCGCAAAATATTCCGTTATGAAGGCGCGTTCTTCCGTCAGGTTCCACACACGAGTCGCGTCAGCAGCTTATGTAGCTTTGCGGACCTAGTATAAAACGCAGTATATTCAGCGAACTACTGTGGGCTCGCTCCGTCATCCCCGTTCTAGGAGGTGCTTTGTGGGGAAGCGAAAACTAACCGGTGATTGGAGGTTCTGTAAACTGTAAAATTTTCGCAAGAAACTAATTTTAGTGAATCGCCTACATTTCGCGAAAATAGGTCCGCCGAACAATTCCGGATTAGAACCCGCGAATTCTTCCAAAAGCTTCAGTTTTAACCTAAATCGCGAAGTATTGAGCCCGCGAAAAATACGTCTTTTACAGTAATTACGGCTCGTACATTTACTTTCTACTAGGAGATACATCCCTTGACCCGTTTGAAATAAATTTTAAAGAACAATATTTATGAGATAAAAAAATCATACCTCTAACGTTATCCAATGCTGAGCAGATCACCCGCGCAGAAGTTCTGCCAAAATGTCGAGTATAAAAGACGGATGCGCTTCTATCGCAGTCGGTGAGTGGGGTACGGTTACTCTGTGATTACAGTGTCTGTGTAGTCTGTGCGTTAGAGTCACGTGTGCCTTGCGTTTGTCCATGTGCAGTGGGAGTGGCATGCTCGAAGGCAGAGACGCTTGTGGGAAAATGTGTGCGTGTTAAAGCCTATAATATAAAATCCAGAAAAAGAAGAACGCTTTTTTTTTTTAATTTGACACATGATAAATGGATACAGCATGGCAGCTGGAATTTTTGAAGTAGGCGGTGCCTAGCGCCATCTGGCCTACCTGGTGTCAGTTTTTTGTGTGTACGTTGCTTGGGCCTGCCATCTGGCGGCAACTCGTGTAACTCCATGCAGCAATATTGGCAGAATTGGCAGAATTCTGCAAACCGTGCTGACCACACTGTGCACAGCGCCAGTTCTTCGCTGCTCGCTGTGATCTTCTAATTGTGCACTCTTTTGAGATCGACTTTAGGTATCACGCATTCGACTATTGTTTATCGGTTTTTCGTAACGTGCGATGCGTGACAAAGGGATCGCGAAGCGAGGAATAGCAAAGGTAGGACGTCGAGTACGCGGAGATCGTCATTGCTGTGAGCATTGCGGGGTCCACGGGGTTTGGCCGTTTTCGTGTAAACGTCTGAATGTCGACCATGCGAGGTTGGGCTCGGAGCGCGAACTTCCTCACTTTCGCGGACAGTTGCCTTTGGCAATAAATAAGCATACGCGAGAGCTTGCGTCAGTGTTTTCATTTGCCGTCAAAAGACGCCATTTTAAAATGCGGCTGAAAGGGAGGCCACATTCCTCCATCAGCGTAAATCATGTAGCAAATGTTGCTCCCCTCGACGATGGAGGAAGTTTGCTCTCCTGCTTGCAGGGAGGAGAGTTGCTCTCTTTCTAAAGGAACATAGGTTACAAGATCGTTCCTCAATTTATGGAGGAATATACAGACCCTTTTTTCTAAGAGTGTAGGCGTCTGTAGCACGCTTAGCGAAAACCACGACCGTGGCGAACGAAGATCCGCCGCCGTTAAGAAATCCCGGGTACACTCTCAATGTCGTCCCTGACGCCGTCACCGCGGGTGCACCAGGCGTCAGTGCACGCTTAGCAAAAACCACAAACGCGCGGAGCGAACATCCGCCGCCGTTAAGAAATCCCGGGCACACTCACGATGCCGTCCCTGATGCCGTCGCCGCGAGTGCACCAGGCGTCAGTAGCACGCTTAGCAAAAACCACCACCGCGGCAAACGAAGATCCGCCGCCGTTAAGAAATCCCGGGTACACTCACAATGTCGTCCCTGATGCCGTCGCCGCAGGTGCACCAGGCGTTAGTGCACGCTTAGCAAAAACCACAAACGCGCGGAGCGAACATCCGCCGACGTTGAGAAATCCCGGGCACACTCACGATGTCGTTCCTGATGCCGTCGCCGCGAGTGCACCAGGCGTCAGTAGCACGCTTAGCGAAAACCACAAACGCGCGGAGCGAACATCCGTCGCCGTTGAGAAATCCCGGGCACACTCACGATGTCGTCCCTGATGCCGTCGCCGCGGTGGCACTAGGCGTCTGTAGCACGCTTAGCGAAAACCACGACCGTGGCGAACGAAGATCCGCCGCCGTTAAGAAATCCCGGGTACACTCACAATGTCGTCCCTGACGCCGTCACCGCGGGTGCACCAGGCGTCAGTGCACGCTTAGCAAAAACCACAAACGCGCGGAGCGAACATCCGCCGCCGTTAAGAAATCCCGGGCACACTCACGATGCCGTCCCTGATGCCGTCGCTGCGGGTGCACCAGGCGTCAGTAGCACGCTTAGCAAAAACCACCACCGCGGCAAACGAAGATCCGCAGCCGTTAAGAAATCCCGGGTACACTCACAATGTCGTCCCTGATGCCGTCGCCGCAGGTGCACCAGGCGTTAGTGCACGCTTAGCAAAAACCACAAACGCGCGGAGCGAACATCCGCCGACGTTGAGAAATCCCGGGCACACTCACGATGTCGTTCCTGATGCCGTCGCCGCGAGTGCACCAGGCGTCAGTAGCACGCTTAGCGAAAACCACAAACGCGCGGAGCGAAGATCCGGCGCCGTTGAGAAATCCCGGGCACACTCACAATGTCGTCCCTGACGCCGTCGCCACGGGTGCACCAGGCGTCAGTGCACGCTTAGCAAAAGCCAAGACCGCGGCGAACGAAGATCCGCCGCCGTTAGGAAAGCCTGGGTACACTCACAATGTCGTCCCTGACGCCGTCGCCGCGGGTGCACCAGGCTTCAGTAGCACGCTTAGCGAAAACCACAACCGCGGCGAACGAAGATCCGCCGCCGTTAAGAAATCCCGGGTGCACTCACAATGTCGTCCCTGACGCCGTCGCCGCGGGTGCACTATGCGTCAGTAGCACGCTTAGCGAAAACCACAAACGCGCGGAGCGAACATCCGTCGCCGTTGAGAAATCCCGGGCACACTCACGATGTCGTCCCTGATGCCGTCGCCGCGGGTACACTAGGCGTCAGTAGCACGCTTAGCGAAAACCACGAGCCCGCCGAACGAAGATCCGCCGCCGTTAAGAAATCCCGGGTGCACTCACAATGTCGTCCCTGACGCCGTCGTCGCGGGTGCACTATGCGTCAGTAGCACGCTTAGCGAAAACCACAAACGCGCGGAGCGAACATCCGTCGCCGTTAAGAAATCCCGGGTGCACTCACAATGTCGTCCCTGACGCCGTCGCCGCGGGTGCACCAGGCGTCAGTAGCACGCTTAGCGAAAACCACGACCGCGGCGAACGAAGATCCGCCGCCGTTAAGAAATCCCGGGTGCACTCACAATGTCGTCCCGGACGCCGTCGCCGCGGGTGCACCAGGCGTCAGTAGCACGCTTAGCGAAAACCACGACCGCGGCGAACGAAGATCCGCCGCCGTTAAGAAATCCCGGGTACACTCACAATGTCGTCCCTGATGCCGTCGCCGCGGGTGCACCAGGCGTCAGTAGCACGCTTAGTGAAAACCACGACCGCGGCGAACGAAGATCCGCCGCCGTTAAGAAATCCC